TTGTGGAGCATAAATTTGTATTTGATTTCAGAAAAGCTGAACAAAACATTTTTTCTACACTGCATGTTTGAGATTAGAGAGTGTATGGCTTGTAATTGAAGCTCCTGATGCTAAAATGCTCAATGAGAGTTTCCAGATCATTGTGGTAGACACAGTCATTCATCTTATATATTCTATTATTTTATCACAAGCAATTTTGGCTGTCATTTTCACATTTATTCTGTTAATAAAAACTCTGGGATAACATTAGTCAATGCTTGGTCTGTTTCCATATTTGGCAGGTGACTCACAAACATAAGTTAGGTGAAAGACAATAAACCTTGGAAAAACAATTCCTATAGACCTCTCTCTTTCCTCCCTTGATAAACAAACATACAAATGGCAGCATTCTAAATGCAGAATTTCTAAATCTTTTAAATAACCATTTCAAATCAATTACAATCAATTACATTTTTTTCAGGAAACTCAACTACTTACCTATCAAGAGCCAGATAATATTAAGAACCAAAGATTATGATGTCAATCATAGAATATTTAATTAAAGAATATTTCAAATTTCTTTGAAATACAACTTTTGCACTATATGTAGCATTAAGTGCTATGTTATATTAATGCTATTTTACTTTCATTTTCAGTTTTTAAAGCATTTTTTTCTGGAAATGATCATCATCATTTCAGTGCAACTAAGATAAAAATCATGACTCAAAAGAACCATTCTGAAATCTAAGCAGGAATTGCTAAGCACTTATTTATGATGAGTTCAATCATCTGCTTAGAAATGTCTTTATAATAATTTCGTAGTAATACCTCTTATTTTGAGTCTCAAGTTATGTTCTTCAGAGTATTGACATCTTTAGAGAGACACTAGTAAGGTATATATCACAAAAAAAGGATTACTGAAGATTTAAGAAACTACAACTCTATAGAAAAATTTTTTTTATTTTATCCGAATAAGTTTCTGTCGGGTGACTAAAGACTGATCACTAAATGAGACATGGCAGCTTGTATGAAAACTTCTAAAAATGCAATGATCTGAGTACAATAAAGAAAACAGATATGCTGTTTGCAGCATAGATACATCACCAAATGGTGCCATCTAGGGAATGCAGCTGGAGTGTTCCTAGAGAGTAGAAAAGTGCCACAATATAACTGAAAACTCTAGTTACTTATAAAAATTAAAAGCAAATATATATATTAAAAAATCCTACAACCTCTATAATGGTAAGCAGGATGGATGGATGGATGATGGATGGATGGATGGATGATGGATGGATGATGGGTGGCTGGGTGGATGGATGACTAGATATGTACCCTCAAATCATGATTTATATTTAGCAACCACATAGATGGATTACATTCATAAAATTTGAGAAAGTTGTGGCTGTTTCAGTGCTATCAGCTGCTTCTGGACTGCTCCTATGGTCATGTAATCTTCAGTTTCAGTGTTTTGTGATAGTTTCCCAATTTCACAATCCCTCATTCCCTCCCCCATCCAGCAATAGCCACTTACCTTCCCTGCTGGAAAAAGAAGCATGTGGCACCTCTTACCCCTATGACCCCAACACACACTTCTTGACCCATATCACCCCCTATGCATCCTCCCTGACCACATAATATTTCTGTCATACACCTACCCATCCTTCCCAATCCATGCAATACTTCTCATGCACCCGCACATACCATTCCTGATCTACTCAGCCCTTCACTCCCTTCCACAGCCATCAGCAGACACTTGAGAACCTGCTCTCCTTGAATTTGCAATTTCGTGCAGGCTTCCCCACTGATCTTCTCCTGAAAGCTTCTTACAAGTAAAGTAAATGGGAGGGAGGGAGGGAGGGAGGGAGGAAGGAAGGTAGGTAGGTAGGTAGGTTGGCTTCTGATGCTCCCTGCCTGCCGCAAGGACATTTAATGGAAAAGACGGGCGGAAGTTGTAAGTCACTCCCTCCCTCACTGTTTTTTTGCTCAGCCATGGTCATTTTATTTCTCTTAGGTAAGGAAATATCTCTGAAATTGGGACCCAATGATGCATGGGTTGTCTAGTTCCATTTAAATATTCCTAACAAGCTTGTGGAGAGTGTGGTTGCGTGGCAGCTTCCCCGACACCTGGAGGAAACAGTCTATCTAGACCCGCTCCAGTCGGGCTTCAGGCCGGGGTACAGCACGGAAACGGCATTGGTCACATTGGTGAATGATCTCTGGAGGGCCCGGGACAGGGGTTGTTCCTCTGTCCTAGTTCTTCTCAGCGGCTTTTGATACTGTGGACCACGGTATCATGCTGCGGCGTCTGGCTGAGTTGGGAGTGGGAGGCACGGTTATGCGGTGGTTCTCCTCCTTCCTCACCGACCGCACGCAGTCTGTATTGGCAGGGGGGCAGAGGTCGACCCCAAGGCCCCTAACTTGTGGGGTGCCACAAGGGTCGGTCCTCTCCCCCTTACT